TGAGGAATTAAAGGTTCTGAATGAATGGTGATTTTGTTTCAAAGAGTTTGAGTAAGGAAAAAAAATAAAGTATTATATAACCTGTGTGAGACTGAGATACCTTTGACTGAAGCCAACTTTTTTGGTTGCAAATATGTCCCATATAACCCTCTGGTGGAAATATATCAAATATGTACATTTTCCGAGTTGAAGTGAAAGGGTAGTGCCCTGATGGTGCCTGAGCTGAGGGTTGTAGCTCCTTTTATGTCTAATCTGTGAACCTGGGCAGATATGTGAGAGCTAACATTGCTGTGGTACGTGTAGTGCAACATTGATAGCTGTAGTTCAATGAGACATATTCAGTGTTCTTGAGGCATTGATGGAGATGCCTGACTCCTAACCTTGTGTGTATCAATCCTCTGAAATTTCACAATGCTTCATACCTCGATAGTACAAGGTTGTATTGAGTAGACAGTAGCACAGCTCAGATCATACATCATTTTCCAGCACTGGAATCAGGTTCTCTTGGATATCCCACAGGCCGTGATTTTGCAATGATCTCCAAGCTCTCTTTCCCAGTTGGAGTGGGTCACCTATTGTCATCGCATGGAAATTATGCACCCATTCTCTTCCAAACAGCCTGCAGGAGTATTTCTAAGGAGGTGCTGCAGACTTTCTGTTTGACATCTCCAGGAGTAGGCGGGGATGACCAACAGAGATCTGATGATGCTCTTGGTTTGCAGGGTGTGAAATGATGTCCAGATGCCTTTTAAATAAGAAGTTTGGAACCTAGGAGATCCCACTGCTTTAGAACTTTCTACCCATAATATTTGGTATACACTTGTGCGTGCATGTGGAATGAGCTGAGAAGAATGCAATTGCACAAGGCAACCTGACCAGCTCCTAGATGAAGGGATTCCTGCTTTGAGGTTGAATGCTACACTTACTGTCCAAACAAAAAACAGATTCAGCCCTGTCATTTTGGAGGATTTTGTGTGGAACTGAAACATATACCACCTTTTAGTGTTCATTTGTTACTCGGCATTTGAAGAAGACTATGAAATCCATGAGGCAAAATTCTAAGACATGTTGTTAAGAGTTCACCATCACACTTTAAACATTTATTCTGGAAATTCTCTAAGAACTGGAAGGGTAAGCTCTGTGATTCTTTATTGGACATATTAGAGGAGTCACTAGAAGAAAGGAAGTGCTAATCATTGATATCTTGCCACAGTTTCTATTTGGTCTTCAAAAGGAATGGGAGGAGGTGATCAGACTAGGAATGAGAGATAGGAGGAGCAGAAAAGTAAAGTGGCACCATTTCTACCCCCTCAACCCACCCCCATGCTGATGGTACAGGGCTACAAAGACATGTGTTGGTTCGCAGGATCTAGGCATCATTAATATTACTGAAGATTGCTGTTTGGCCCACTCAGAGAATTGACATAGCAATACGACATGAATGAGTTTCTTCCCTACTGAGCCTGTTTGAGAAACTTCGGGCAAATTCAAATTACGCAAATTAGCAATTTGAAGCAAAATAAACTCTTAGTTTAGCATTAATTTAGGATTTGTTTTCATCTTGCATCAAATTAACTGCCAAATGTAATTACATCTGATGATTTGCGAATAAAGCTTAATAGTGTTGTCATTGAAGATCAGCTTCATTTCTGATCTTATGTTGGAGGGAAGGCCTTTGATAAAATAGATGAAGATGGTTGGGCCTAGGACAGTGCCCCAAGAAAGATGGTGTTCCTAAGGCTGTGATGATTGGCCTCAATTAACTACAACTGCCTTCCTTTATGCTAGCAATAATTTCAACTAGTGGAGCCTTCTTCCCACTGATTTCGATTGGCTCTAGTTTTGCAGGAATCATAAAGTCATAGAGTCATACGGCATGGAAACAGAACGTTCAGACCATGCCAACCATAATCCCAGACTAAACTAGCCCCATCTGCCTGGGAAAAATAATGCATTTGTTCCACATACTGGTCCAGTCTTACTCCAACTCAAAGACAATCAGAGCTTTTTGATACCACACTCAGTCAAGTGCTTGATGTCAAAAGCAGCTGCTCTCACCTCACCTCTCAAATTCAGCTTTTGTGTTCATGTTTGAACCAAGGTTGTAATGAGGGCTGAAGACCTGTTGCAACTCAAAATGTGTATTGGTTAATAGGTTACCACTGATTAAGGGCTATTTGATAGCATGAGTAATCACACTTTTCATCATTTTGTTGATCATTGACAGTAAACTGTTGGGGGAGTAATGACCAGATTAAATTTGACCTGCATTTTGGTAACAGAACATACCTGGCATTTTTCCACACTATGGGGTAATTGCAAGTGTTGTTGTTGGGCTAGGTTTGAGTAAAGCTATAGTTAGTTCAGGAGCCCAGGTCCTCAGTACCACAAGCTGGTATGTTGTAAGGGCTATGTTTCTTGAGATCATAGAGAATGAATCAGACTGGCTGAAAACTGGATTATGTGATTGTGGACTTTTTAAATTTCTTCTTCATTCATTCATGGGATGAGGGCGTCACTGGATAGGCAGCATCTATTGCCCAACCTTAATTGCACAAAGAGAATTAAGAGTCAACCACATTGCTGTGGGTCTGGAGTCACATTTAGGCCAGACCAGGTAAGGATGACAGTTTCCTTCCCTAAAGGACGTTAGTGAACTAGATGGATTTTTCTGACAATCGACGATGGAATCATAGTCAAAATTAGATTTCCAGATTTTTTTAAATTCAAATTCTGTCATCTGCCATGGCAGGATCCAAACCTTGGTCCCTAGAACATTAGAGACAACAAGGTGCAGAGCTGGATGAACACAGCAGGCCAAGCAGCATCATAGGAACAGAAAAGCTGATGTTTTGGGCCTAGACCCTTCATCTGGGCCCAAAACGTGAGCCTTTCTGCTCCTATGATACTGCTTGGCCTGCTGTGTTCATCCAGCTCTGCACCTTGTTGTCTCGGACTCTCCAGCATCTGCAGTTCCTACTATCCCTAGAACATTATCTTGGTCTCTGGATTCACAGTCCAGTGATAATCCCGGTTGGCTATCCCCTCCCCATGCTCAAGGGTAGACCAAAATGGATTATCCACTCAGTTCTTCTGGGACAAAGATGGTTGGAAATTTTTCATCCTTGTGCTGGCTCTGCCGTGGTTGAGGATGGGGATATTTGTGGAGCCTTTCCCTTTGATTAGCTAATAAATTGTTCATCGCCATTCACAACTGGATCTGGTTGGACTGAAAAAGTTTTGGTCTGATCTGTGGGTTGTGTGATTGCATAGCTCTGCGTATTCGATACTGCCTCCCTTGGTTGACATGAGTGTAGTGTTAGAATGTAGTTACACTACCTTAGTTATTCATTTTGTTAGTATGATTACTGCTGGTCGTGGCATCCTTTCCTAAATTCCTGATTGAACCAAGGTTTAGTACCTTGGCTGTATGGTAAGTTTAGAATGAGGGTTATACCAGGTTTTCACAGCACTTTCTTGCAACATCTGCGATGCAGATAGGGTTCAAGCCTTCATCCTACAGCTCTGTTGCACCACGACACTAATGATGGTTATCATTACTTGACCCACTCTCTGGTAAACTCATTTTAGGCTTCCCTACCAGTCGATTTGAAAGCAGTGGGATAGAGTGGGGAACTGTAAAATCCAACAGGTCCTTGAGTCTGTTGAGGCCCTTACATAGGCACTATTTTTAAACAAGAACCATACATGCATTGTTGGCTGGGCCAGTGTTTGTTGCTTATCTCCAGAAGACAGTTAAGAGCCAACCACATTGCTCTGGGTCTGGAGTCACATGGAGGCCAGACTAGTTAAAGATAATAGATTTTCCTCCCCAAAGGACATTAGTGAACTAGATGGTAATTTTTTTAATGACAATCAACAATGGCTACTTAATTCCCATTAATCAAGATCTTAATTCCAGATTGTTTTGAATTCCGCGGTGGAATTCAAACCCATATCCCCAGAACATTCACATTCGGTTCTGGATTGCTAGTCCCATGACATTACCATTACACCACCCCCTCTCCTTAAGGGCCACCTCCTATCTCCACCAGTATTGTACAGCAGTATGGGATCTCGTGTTAAATATGACATGTGGCAACTTTAGGTGTGCATGGGTTGGTGTCGAGTAAATGGGTAAGGACCCCAGAGTCCCTGTGGCTACTGAATGTACAAGAACCTTAAAGGTTTGATCTGACCTGTTGATTATGGAATTGTTTAATTCTGTCTATGCCTTACTTCTTCTGCTGTTTAGCTCTCCTTTATGAGGCTGAATTACCTTTTGTCTAGAGGCTATTAACTGCTGTTAAAGTTCAAAACCTGTGCAGCCGGGACTGTCTCAGATGGTCTGACTGCAGATTATTCCAGCTTACATTGGTGGAGAGAGATAGAACTGCTAAATAGTCCTTGCAAGCACTGGTTACCCACTCCAAAATACTTCACCTATGTAATTTACTATGAGGTTTGTAACCCAGTCCAGGAGAAAGCAAGAATCTAGCTCCAATATGCTTCCATTGTTAAGGCCCAGAAACTAAATAAAAGGTTTTACACCACTTTAAAAGCGGGTGTGCATTTTCCATTTGCCATAGATTATAACATTTTTCCTAGCTACTGTTAAACTTTGTTCTGGTAGGAAGTAAACACAACTATTGTGTATCATTTAATGATCTTTCCAATTAGTCGATTTTAATATTGTAGAATACGTCCTTTGAGAAATGCTAATTGATGTTTGATATTTCCTTTTGTGATTGATTTCTCCAGAACAATTGACTGCAGCAATTACATCAGAATGAAAATCTCCTCTCAATATTTTTAGCAAATCAGTGATTGATAAATAAGCCAGTACATTCATGGAGCAAGAATAAAAATAAAAGCATATGACCTAATCACTAGTCATTCTGAATTTCCTAGCATGGAGAGGAGTCTATTAATTATTGATAGTTAACTTTAAAGTAGAAAAAAAGTCCTTACAGATTTTTCTTCTTTCCTTTTGCATTCAGGCAAATCGGTCGTGGATGAAGGAGCTCAGTACATTCATGGGGCGAGTATGAAGAATCCCATTTTTCAACTGGCCAAAGAGTACGGCCTTCTTCAAGAAGTATACGACAAGTCCGATGGTAAATGGTCAGTGTTCACCAACACTCAGAAACTGTTCGATCATGACTTTGTTAAGGAAATGGAGAATCTAACTAATTTTCTGCAGGAGCAAACAGCCCTTCATTCTCAAGGAAAGGGATACGCAGAACTTAGAAGCATTGGTCAGGTCTATCTGGAGGAAATAAAGAAGGTCTTCTCAAACTGGACTGACGACACTCCCAAATTTAGGAGGCAAAAGCTTGGTTTCCTCAATATGATGAAGAAGGATCAATGCTTATATTTTTCATCGCAAAACCTAAATGATGTGTCTCTGCAGGAATTTAGTGAATATGAACATATTAATGGCGGTGACCTCAACTCTCCACGGTTAGTAATAAATAAGTCAACTGTCCATTATTTGTCTTGTAATTACATAATTGCACAAGGTTGAATAGCTATTGATAATGATGGTAAAGGTTCCAATTTCTTTCTATCACATGGCTAACCAGGAATCTCTCCCACTCTTATCAACTGCCATTGGCATCCGTCGAAGGATATGTTGGAATGTCTAGTGGTGCAGTGGGTTATTATCCCTGTCGTTGTGCCAGAAACTCAGGAAGGTGCATTCATATCATAGCCAAACATGGTCTGAATCGTCTGTACATCTTTCCAAAGAGATTGGAGCCTTTATCATCACCACCCACAGGTCCAGAGTACAACATGCACGCGAAAGTTCAGGTTGCCACTGCAACTCACACCTGCTAACTGCACTGTAACATTGTAATTACTACAAGTTTAAATTCAGTGATACAAAAGACAATTTATTGATGACAAACACAAGATTGCACCACATCTATTATTTTTAGTAAGGTTTAAAATATATTTCCAAATTTTAGCAACTGAAGTTTTGCAGGGAGGAAAGCGGGAGGTGAAGTAATGTCTCAAAAAATAAAGTGAAGGAAAATTCAGTGTGTAAGATCTGAACAAAATCCGCGATCAAATAGTTGGAATAGTGTAACACAAAAGCCTATCCTTGATGATTGGGTGGAAGGAGGGATGGCCAAATTTTTTTAACTCAAACGCATGCCCCTTAAGTCAATCCTCTTGTGAAGATGATGATGAGATTCAACCTGTGTACCAATCAAGAGAACAAATTGAGGAGAAACAATTCTTTTTAAGATCTAAAAAAGTAAAAATATACCCAACCGTGCCATGTTTCATGTAAATTACCCCAAGACTGCTAGCCACAAAGTGTTAGACATTACATTTTCCCACAGTTATACCTCACTCATAGCAACCACAACCCCAACCAGCTCCATACCACCATACTGTTCTCGTACAAGTGACACCTCAACAGGACATATAGCCAACTTGCAATTTACAATTAAAATATCTTACGTTGTTCACATCTTCAGATTCAGCCATCAAATCTTCGTAACACAGACCAGCTGCATGAATCAGTTACCTACTGTTATCTCAAATGCCATGATTTGGCATGTATCCATTGCTGTGTATGCATTGTGGATTGCATAAGAGAACTGATGCAAAAGAGTTGAGAAGTAACAAACTATTATAGAGTCTTAGAGTCAAGAGATGTACAGCACAGAAACAGCCCCTTCGGTCCAACTTATCCATGCTGACTAGATATCCTACATAAACCTAGTCTCACTTGCCAGCATTTGGCCCAAATCCCTCTAAACCCTTCCTATTCATTTATGCATCCAGATGCCTTTTAAATGTTGTAATTGTACCAGCCTCCACCACTTCCTCTGGCAGCTCATTCCATACATGCACCACCCTCTGCGTGAAAAAGTTGCCCTTTAGGTCCCTTTTAAATCTTTTTCCTCTCACCTTAGACCTATGACTTTTAGTTTTGGATTCCCCTACCCCAGGGAAAAGACTTTGGCTTTTCACCGTATCCATGCCTTTCAGCCTTCAACGCTGTGGCCCTAGCAACATCCTTGTAAATCTTTTCTGAATGCTTTCAAGTTTCACAATATCTTTCCTATAGTAGGGGAGGCCAGAACTGAACATGGCATTCCAAAAGTGGCCTAACCAATGTCCTGTACAGCTGCAACATGACTTCCCAAATCATATACGCAATACATTGACCAACAAAGGCAAGTGTATCAAGTTATTACGGAAGTCTTAACAATGCACAAAGAAAATCATGGCATGATCAAATAAATTAGAAAGAAAAATTATGTTTGACAAATTTGTTCAAGTGTTTTGATGATGCAACCGGTGGGGTAGCAAAAATGAAACTTGTGTATGTAGCATATCTAGATTTCTGTTTGATAAGGTCACCCACGAAAGCTTAAGATAGGTAAGGAATCATGGAACTGGCAGTAATATCTTGATGTGGACAGAAAATGGCTCTGGGAGTAATCCAGATATTACTACCCTAAAGGACCTTTTTTTAACCTCCTGCCTAATTTCCTATATTGTCTCTGCAGAACATTGTCCCTTTTCCTTCCTGTGTCTTTGCTGCCAGCATGTACAAAGATCTTCTGCTGGTCTTCTGCACCTTCTTGGAGAGATCCTTGACCCTGGCACCAGGAAGCAACATACCATTTTGATGTCTCACTGCTGGCCACAGAAACATCTGTCTGTGCCCTTGACTAGAGAGACCCCTAGTATAATTGATTGCTTGGAACTTGGGATACTTCTCATTACAGTAGAGCCAGTCTCAGTACCAGAAACCTGGCTATTGGTGCAATATTCCCTTGAGAGCCCATCATCCCCAACATTAATCAAAACAGCACACTTGTTTGAGATGGGGATAGCCTCAGCAGACTCCTTCACTAACTGCTTACCTCTCCTACCTTACCCAGCACTAAACCATCTACCTGACTGTATCTGGGAGATAGTAAGAACTGCCAATGCTGGAGTCAGAGATAACACAGTGTGGAGCTGGAGGAACACAGCAGGCCAGGCAGCATCATAGGAGCAGGTCCGAATCCGAAATGTCAGCTTTCCTGCTCCTCTGATGCTGCCTGGCCTGCTGTGTTCCTCCAGC